ATACGTTGTTGTTGTTACGTGCCATCGAGTCCTGTACGTAGTTACCCTATGTACAGGAACCCTAAACCCTGCTCTGTCCTGTGCCAACCTCACTGTCTCCGACACACCTACTCCCATTACCCCAGTCACTGACTTGATCTATCTCATCGAGGGTCTTCCTCTCTTGTGCTCACCTCTCCAAGGACTGGTCCCTCCTTGCAGCATGCCCAAAGTATGTCAGACGAAGCTTCAGAATCCTTGACTCTAAGGAACAGCCTGGTTTCTCCCTCTCCAGGAGAAACCTGTTTGTTCTCCTAGCAGTCCATGATATATTCACCACTTCTTCAGCACTACAGCTCAGAGGCATCAATTCTCTTTCTATCATCCCTATTCACTGTCCTGCTTTCTGATGCATAGCATGCAGTTGCAAAGACTATGGCCCAGATCAGGCGTACCTAGTCTCCAGCCTGACGTTGTTGCTCTTCAGTACTCTGGAGAGGTCCCTGACCACTGACTTTCCCAATGCATTTACCTTCAGCAAAATACTTTCATATGGTATTAATGATGTTGTTCAATATTTTTAGCACTCTGTTCATTATTCATCTTTCATTGGAATTGGTACAGATATAGGTTCATTTTATTGATTGACTTAGCTGTCTCCCATCCTGATGTCTTACTGTGAACCAGTGAGTATGTGCAGCTTTCTGTTCACCTGTGGAAACATTCAGTTTGTGTTCTGCAATTCCTTTTAAAGACTGGTATAGTGTGTGCTAAGTATAATAAATTATCTCTACAGATTTTTATTACATATTGAAGCTGCAGTGTCTAAATACATTGCTTTTTACCCAGAATACTAAATCCTGTTTGTTAATTTCTCTAAAAGTGAATTTGATACTCAAGTATATATTCTTTGTTCTTAAATGTTGATTTGGAAACAGTGTATTCTAACAAGATAAGTGTGCCCATTTGATAATACATATTTCTGTATAAACATTTCCTACTTCCAATGATAAAGTGTTTTGTTTCAAAGTCATTATTAGATCTGGTTGTATAGTTGCTTTGTACAAACATCTTTACAAGTAGATTTGAAAACCATGTTTTAAAAATGTAAAATAAGACTGGCTGTAGTTGTATCTTTTCTAAACCACCTAATACCTTGTTAAAGAGCACTTTATGATAGTAAAAGTGTAGTTTCACTTTAATGTCAAATTATGTAATTTTACTATCTTTTGTTTAGGAGAATGTTGTGCTTCTTTGCTTTTTGCTACCTTTTCTGGATACCAGAAACTGTGCCACAACTTAAATGTATGATTCAAGCATTTGATGGCTAATGTATTGGTTCTTTTTTTGGGTTTTTTTTCTTCCTTTTCTTAATTTCAATGAAAATTTACAGAAACTTTGATTTTTACATTCATTCGTTATTGCACTTTTCTCCCCTCCCAGC